CCAGAAGAGACCTAGAATAGCAAAGGCAATTCTATGCAGCAAAGACAAAGCAGGAGGCATCACAATCCCTGACTTGAAGTTATACTACAAAGCAACAGTAGTAAAATCAACATGGTATTGGAATCAAAACAAAGCCGAAGATCAATGGAATAGATTAGAAGATACAACCACAACTACAAACACACTCAACCACCTTACCTTTGATAAAGGAGCCAAGCAGGTTCACTGGAAGAACAACAGTCTCTTTAATAAATGGTGCTGGAAAAACTTGCTCTCCATTTGCCTAAAGCTAAAGCTAGACCCATGTCTATCACCATGTACTAAATTAAAATCTAAATGGGTCAAAGATCTGAATATTAAAACAGAAATACTAAATCTTTTGGAAGACAAATTGGGTTGAAACCTTGAAGACATAGGAGTAGGTAGAGAATTCATGAACAGGACTCGAACTGCACAGGAAATACTTCCCAGAATCAATAACTGGGACCACTTCTTATTAAAAAGTTTCCGCACGTCAAAAGAAATCTCCAGCATAGTGAAAAGAAAACTCACAAACTGGAAAAAGATTTTAGTGAACTCTCTCTCAGACAAGGGACTCTTGTCTAAAACATATAAAGAATTAAAAAAACACAGACCCCCAAAATTCAAAGATCCAATCCAAAAATGGGCATCTGAGATGAATACGCACTTCTCAGATGAAGAAATGCAAATGGCAAATAAATACATGAAAAAATGTTCATCATCATTGGTCATTAGAGAAATGCAAATTAAAACCACACTGAGATTCCTTCTCACTCCGGAAAGAATGACCAGGATCAAGAAAACCAACAACAACAAATGCTGGAGAGGCTCTGGGGAAAAAGGAACTCTCCTACACTGTTGGTGGGAGTGTAGACTGGTGCAGCCTTTGTGGAGGTCAGTCTGGAGATTTCTCAAAAAGGTGGGATTGGAAGTCCTGTTTATTCCAGCTATTCCACTTCTAGGCATATTCCCAGAAGAACTGATGGCATCATACCACAGTGATATATGTGCACCTATGTTTATAGCAGCACAATTTGTAATCGCCAGATCTTGGAAACAACCCAAGTGTCCATCAACTGAGGAATGGATAAAAACTTTTGGTATTTCTATACAATGGAGTATTATTCAGCTATAAAGAAGGATCACATTGAGCTATTTATCAATAAATGGGCGCAGCTTGAGACCATACTCATAAGTGAAATAAATCAATCTCACATGTGTGAATACCGAATAGTTTCCCTAATGTAAGTAATGATTCAACTATATAAAAATATGTGGTAATCATGATTCCCCATTATGTGGCCTTGAAGCCTTATAAAGTTTTCACTTATTAATTGGAAAGGCTTAATTCTGGGCTTCTTGATATGGAAATATTTGAAGCTATAGTATACGAAGTTTTATTCAACTATTTCAAGGAAAAAGACAGACACTATGGTAACTACTATTAAGTCGGGTTATTTGGTGGTGAAGTGCTAGGTTGCTGAAACAGTCATGCTTTGACCTGCATTGTTATATTGTTATGTCCTGTTTTATCTCAATCTCTCCCTTATTCTTTAAAAAATTATTTAGTTATTTCTTATGTTTGTTTTAATTAAGGGGAAAAATTTTAAAAATTAGCAGGATATATAATGGGTAACTTTTGTGATTTCCTATTAACTTGTTTTGAAGTCCTGTAATACTCCCATGATCTTGTTTTGACTGATTAGACTCTGTTCCATTCTGTATGATAGTATCAATTTTGAGGGTATAGGCAACTACTTTGAAGGCAATAAGATTCACTAAGATGCCCATTCTGGTTTGACTTATTGTCTCTTTGGAAGTCCTGTAATGTTTACAATGCTTAAGTTTTATTGGTCTTGTTCTCTACTGTTTTGTTCAACTTTATAATATATAATAAGATAGACAATTCTTTTTAAGGAAACAAGAGACATTGTTGATAACCATTGTTGATAACCTTGTACTCTGTTTTACATCATGTGCTTTGTCTCTCCTTGGTTTTGACTGACAGCTTTGTTTTGCCATATTTGACTTTATTCGATCTCCCCCCAAACAAAGTAGCAAGAACTAAGGAGTAATAAAACGCAAAATGTGTAAATTTTGTTGTAAAAAAGAGAGGGAAAAAAAGAACTCTAAAGGATACAACAGCAAGTGTGTTTAGGGGTGTTAAATAGCTGACCATATTAATATTTTTGGTTGGATTATTGAACACAACTGTTTGCAGTCTCACTGTTTGAATGTCCACTTTGTATTCTTTGCTACTGTGATTTGAGCAACTATTTCTAAGATAATAATATGCAATCTATTAACTGGTGGTTTCTTACTGTTTTTTTTTTTTTTTTTTTGCAGTTCTGTATTACTTGTACACTAACACCGCTTTGTTTTGTTTTGTGTTTTTCTCTTTTTCCTTTTAAATAAAAGTTTTTAAAAAGTAAAAATAAAAATTGTGGACCCATTGCACAGAAGAGAAGGTAGAAACACAACTCCAGACACAGTTACATGACCTGCACAAAGAAGCCAAACTTTCTTTGGAGAAAAACAGACTGATGAACAAATTGCACTGCAAAAAATGGCCCAACATGCTTAAATTTGAACTTTTTCCCATAACTGATACCATACATAATAATACAAAAAATGAGAATAAAATTTCAGCATTAAAACAAAAACACTTAATATGCTGGCAGACAAAAATGCATAAACATTCAAAACATAAGCTGCATACAAAGAATTTCTAAATAAAGTTTCCATTGTGCAAGAAATAATACCAAGAATCCACAAATAGGATCATATTATATTTAAATATGCTTTATGACAAAGAACCCAGCAACCAAGTGAATACTAAATCTATAAAATGGGAAAACATGATGGCCAATTGTTGTTAGACAAAGAGTAACATCCAGAATATATGAAAAACACAGAAGAAATTAAACTCTCTATTTCCAGAATCAATTCTAAAATGAATTATCATTTTTGAGTTGGAGAAACACTAACAGCCAATAAATACATGAAAAACTTTACAGTATCACTTTAGACAGTATCTATCCACTGTCACTCCAATACAACACAGACCACTTTAAAACCTTCCCCATATTATGCATTTTAATGTGGCTTCAGATGCAGTATTAAAGGTCCAGAAGACTCAGAAACACATCTAAATGTGAGAATTTCCAATAAATTTTGATAATTTTCTTAACAAATGAAACAAAATTCTATGTATGTTTTCAATCTGTTATTGTAGTAGATAGCCAGCCTCCATACTGAGCTTTCGCCCTCAAAAGTTCTAGTGTTATTTTTTCCTACAGCCTTTCCTATGATACTCACGAACTTCTAAAGGTCTTTGTAGCCTGCAGGGGCATGGCTTGGTCAGACCTGAAGCCCAGAGTAGTGTTTTCAGTTGGTTTCGAAATAAACCTGTCATGTTGAATTCTTACCTCTGCTTCTTTTAATTTTTCCCTAACAACCCACATTTCAGAAATGCAAATTAGAGCAACAACAGCATTCTCTTTCACCCATGGAAGAATGACTACCACCACCAAGTCCACCAATAGCAAAGTTAGTGAGGCTGTGAAGAAAAAGGAACCACTCTTCTTTGTTGGTTTGAGTGTAAAGTGATACAAGCACTTTAGAAATCAGAATTGAGAGTCCTTAAATACTACAATTGTAATTTACATTTTACATGGCTATTAACCTTTACGTACCTTGCCACAAGAGGTAGAAATATTAAGCTACAGTGATGTATGAATTCCCATGTTTACAGCAGCACAATTAATAGTAGCTAAGTCTTGAAAACGGTGTATGTCCCCATTCCTGGAGGAATAATTTCAAAGAAATATACTGTTGCTAAGAATGGAGTAACACCTTAAAGAAAGATAAATATGAAACAGTTGTAGGAATTTGGATGTAATGAGATCATAATGTTGAGGGATGTAGATTAAATACATAAGCTTGAACATTGCATGGCTTGCGTTCTAAGAAAAGTTTATATGGATAATAGGGAGAAAAGAGAAAATTTGTTGTTTTCTAACTATATTTCTACTGACTTTCTTATTTAATCACTATGTTTTGAGAGATCATTTTGCATGATTCTATTACTTTGGATATATTTAAGATTTTTATTGGTTTTATGGTTATCTATTTTGCATAAAAAAAGGAAAATCATTATCAGAATAGTAAAGACTACAGAAATACAAGATGAGTGGTTTTCAACATTTAGATGACAGGCATTCAGTGTTGATACTACTAGGTGGATTGTGTTTTTTGGGGGGGATAAATAAGATAACCTAAGTTTAACTAAAGTCATTGTTGTGCATCATTGCCATCACAACTTACATTCTAATATTCTAAAGAACCAAGCTGTAATTTTAACCTAATTGAAAGAAAAACCAAAGAATTCTTTGAACATTTAGAAAGACTCAAAGTTATGTGTCTATTTCAATAATTTAATAATTGTGAAGTAGAGAAGGTCAATAAATTCACTTAATTTTCAGAGAATATCTTACGAAGGAATGAAAACTAGGTTGATATTTGTCTAACCTAGTGAACATAGTCCCAGTATTTCTCAAAGTAATCTTCATACATTCTGTTTTTCTCTCCTTAGTGATTACACATGCAGTTTAATTAAAGAAAACCATTGTCTCCCCCCAGCCACTCCCAAGCAGCCCATTGCTGCCTGTGTTATGCCTTGTGAGCTGAAAGTGGGGGCAGCAACTTCAAACCAATGAGTATAGGGAGCCGAGTGACAGGCATTGCTGCCTCCATGCCTCTCTCTATGGGCACTGCATCTGCCTACATTAACCATAATCCTCTCCTGTTTGTGACATGTATCTGGATGTGACAGTGACCCTGTTGTATTCATCTGTTTAACCTCTTCCTGTCCCAACTCCCGCCCTTAGCCTATAAAACGTGTGATAATTTTCTGAATAAACCAAAGGCTTGATTGGATTATCTCGACTTGCCTTCATCTCTTTTGTCTCCCCCATGTCTTTTATTTAATCCCTGTTCCCCCTCCAGGAGTTCTGGATATGTTGATCTGCAGGCCGGATCAACTGGCACCCAGCGTGGGAGCTCCTGGCACAGAGGAGTTAACGAGGAAGCCGTTCGAGAGACAGCCGGCTTAAACTGAAAGTGAAAGCAAATTGAACCGGAGACCTCTGCTGAGGAGTGAGTAAACTGAATCAAGGATTAAAGCTTAAAGCTTCAGAACATTAAATTAAGTACCGAGACCTGCACAGACGACTACCCAACGTCTTGTCCGAGTCATGGTGAGTGAACGGCAACCCCATTTCCCTTCCCGGACATGGGTCAAGTATTGAATGAACATGAAGTGTTCGTGGAAGGTCTTATAAAGGCACTAAACACAAGAGGGGTAAGGGTTGCAACAAAAGAATTATTACAGTATTTTCAATTTATTCATAAGGTTTGCCCTAGAGGGTTCTATAGATACCAAGAGGTGGAAAAGAGTAAGAGATGCTTTAAAAGATTATTATAGAGTTTTCAGTCCAGAAAAGGTTCCTGTGACCACCTTTACATATTGGAATTTAATCTTTGAGCTGCTTGCCCAGAGGCATGCAGAGCCTCAGATTGAGGAGACAGTTGCACTAGGTGAGACTGCCCTGCGTGACTCCGTTAAATCTACCTCAAAACCATCCTCAGAAAAATCTGAAGCCTCTGATTTCTTAGATGCAGAGGATTGATAGCCTGTTAGAGGTCCTCGTACATGGTGATCTGCCACCCCTTCCACCTGTTGACATGATCAGCAGGTACCAGGATGGCAGCCCGCCACTCCCTGTGCCTCCATTGCCAATTGGGGATTCATATAAGCCTTTAGACCCTGGCTTTTCTGATTCTCAGGAGGTCAACTGGGAACAACCAACACAAGCCTCTACATATCACCCTAACCCTGTTGCAGCACCGGCCACTATTAGGCCATCCCCTGACTATGATGATGCACTCAGCATCTGCTCTCAACCTTCTAGCACATTAGTGGAATTAGAGCAAAGAAAAAAGGATCTTTTAAAACAGATACAGCTAGAAAAAGAATGCCAAAATCTTTCAATTCATTTGCAGGCCCTCTGAGCTACACAGTTTTATAGTGTCCCTGAGATGGAGCCTGCCTCCAGCACGCCTTGTAGTGCGCTTAAAATGGTGCCTGCCTCTAGCAGCCAGCCTAAAACGGCTTTCCCAGTCACAGAGGCCTTTACTCCCCCATGAGATGTTGAAGAGGGCACTGAACCACAAGCTATTAGGATACACACACCTTTCACTGTGGCAGCCTTAAAAGAGTTAAAGGCCGCAGTCTCTCAATATGGCCCGACTGCCGCCTACACCATTGCAGTTCTAGATTCTTTGACTCAGGATTGCATTATTCCTAATGAGTGGAAAGACTTAGCAAAAACCACCATCTCTGGAGGCAATTATCTATTATGGAGATCTGAATTTTTTGATCAATGCGAGGACATAGCCAGAGAAATGCCACCCGGCCAAACACCTGGATCCTCACTATGCTTACAGGAACAGGAGATTTTGCCACAAAAGAGAACCTAATGCAGTTCAATTTGGGCCTCTTTGCCCAGATTAATATGGCAGCCATTAGAGCATGGAAATGGCTCCCCTCAGGAGGCAAGCCTACCTTATCTCTCACCCAAATAAAATAAAAGCCTGAGAAGCCCTTTTCAGACTTTGTCGATCGCCTCTTACAGGTGGCAGAGCGTCTTTTCAGCTCCACAGAAACAAACTGTCCTGGTTAAACAATTGGCTTATGAAAATGCAACCTCAGATTGTCAGGCTGCAATTCGACCACATCGCAAAAAAGAGGACCTATCGGGTTATATCCGCTTATGTACAGATATCGGGCCAGTTTATCAAGGCCTAGCCATGGCTGCAACACAACAAGGTTGCATAGTTACACAATCCCTTTCTCGTCCTAAAAAAGATGCCATTTGTTTCAAATGTGGCCAAAATGGCCACACGGCTCGTGAGTGCAAAAGAAAAAATCAAAATCAGTCCTCTACAAAAAAACCAGGGCTATGTCCTAGATGTAAGTGAGGAGACCACTGGGCTAATGAGTGCAAATCCAAAAGAGATGTTCATGGTAACCCTCTTCCCCCACAGGGAAACAGGTTACGGGGCCGGCCCCAGGCCCCAATTCCGGACAAACCCGTGGGGTTCCAAGGTTTGTCCCAGCAAAAAACCATCCATTTCAGACCTCTTCAAGGCAACCCCAGGGAGTGCGCGGTTGGACCTCTGTTCCACCTCCAACACAGTATTAACCCCTGACATGGGTGTTCAGATCATGCCATCAGGAATCTATGGGCCCCCTCCCCCCAGGACTTTTGGATTTATTATTGGACGTAGTAGCACTATGCTTAAAGGATTACAAGTTCTACCCGGGATAGTAGATAGTGATTGCACAGGAGAAATAAAAGTCATGGTTTCGCCCCTTGTCAGTGTCATACCAGTTAGGACAGGACAACACCTTGCTCAATTGCTGCTATTGCTGTTGGGTCAAACATCTAATAAATCCATAACTCCTTATAGGGGGAACTCCTTTCCTGGAGCTTCTGATGTATATTGGGCCCAACGTATCTCCAAACAAAAACCCCTCATGACTCTATCTTTGGATGGAAAAAGTTTCTCAGGCCTCATTGATACAGGCGCAGATGTTTCCATTATCAAAAAGGAGGAGTGGCCTACTGCCTGGCCTTTAGAAACAACCTTAACACACCTCCAAGGGATTGGACACTCAAAAAATCCACCACGCAGTTCCAAACAACTGGTTTGGAGAGATCAAGAAGGTAATCAGGGACACTTACAACCTTATGTCATAGAGAGTCTGCCTCTTAATTTATGGGGTAGGGACCTACTCTCCCAAATGGGATTAATTATGGGAAGCCCTAATAATGTTGTCACAATGAAAATGCTTAATAAGGGCTACCTGCCAAAACAGGGCTTAGGAAAAATAACATGGGCATTATTGATCCCATCATTCCCATCCCTAACAATGCTAAAGTTCAGTTAGGCCATTTTTCTTAGGGGCCATTGACACTCCTGCGATCCATGCTAAACAAATTACATGGCTGTCAGAAGAGCCGGTATGGGTCGATCAGTGGCCTTACCTCTGAAAAGCTTGCAGCCGCACAGCAGCTTGTGCAGGACCGGTTAGATGCAGGCCACCTTGTCCCTAGTAATTCCCCTTGGAACACACCTATCTTTGTTATCCGGAAAAGGTCAGGGAAATGGAGGCTGCTACAAGTACTTAGGGCGATAAATAAGACAATGGTCTTAATGAGGCCCCTACAGCCAGGCATCTCCTCACCCAGTAACATTCCCTTGGGATTTTTTAAAATTAAAGATTTTAAAGATTGCTTTTTCTCTATCCCTTTACATCCAAAGGACCAAAAGCGTTTTGCCTTAAGTCTCCCATCAATTAATTTTAAAGCCCCTATGCAGAGATTTCAATGGCAAGTTTTGCCGCAAGGTATGGCTAATTCCCCCACACTATGCCAGTCTTTTGTAGCCACTGCAATATAGCCAGTCAGAGATCATTGGCCACATATCTATATTATTCATTATATGGACAATATCTTCTTGGCCGGAGCTGATCAAAACCAAACCCTAATGTGCTACCAGGACTTACAGGTTGCCTTACAAGAGGCTGGACTTCAAATAGCCCCTGACAAAGTACAGCTTACTGCTCTATATACATACTTGGGTTTTCAATTATGTAGCACTCAAATACTCTCTTCAAGGCCCCAACTGAGGCTTGATGGCCTCAGAACACTTCATGACTTCCAAAAACTATTGGGAGACACTTAATTGGCTCATACCATTTTAAAAACTAACTAAACATGATTTACAGCTCCTTTATGCGCTGCTTTGGGGAGACATAGATCCAACTTCCCCCCGAGAGCTTACACCTGATGCCAGGAGAGCATTCAGTAAAGTAGAAGAGGCTATTGCTCAACAAACTGTTTCCTTTATGGACTACAATGAGCCTTTACAGTTTCTCATTTTTAATACAAAGCTTTGCCCCACAGCAGTGTTCTGGCAACAAGCTCCCCTCATGTGGGTCCATTTATCAGTCTCCCCAAAAAGAACACTTTTGCCTTATTTCCAAGCTGTCTCAGACCTAATAATTCAGGGTAGAAAGCAAGGAAAATGTACTTTGGCAAAAAACCAGACATTATCATTCAACCTTTTACAAAAGACCAAATAGATTGGCTACTTCGGAGTACGGAAGTGTGTCCTATTGCCTTAGCTTCCTTTTCAGGGACTATTGACAATCATTACACTCCAAATAAGCTAGTTGACTTTGCTAATCATCACCCATTTATATTCCCTAAAGTCACAGCTTCACAACCCCTTCCAGGTGCCCTGGTGTTATTCACTGATGGCTCATCCTCCAGAAGGGCTGCTTATGTATCCCAAGACAATGTTTCTACCCTCCAAGCAGAAACTTCCTCTGCACCATTAGCAGAGTTAGAAGGTATTCTTGCAGCCTTTGCTGCTTACTCTGACCGACCATTTAATTTGTATACTGACAGTGCTTACCTTGCTCAGTCTGTTCCATTATTAGAGACTGTTGCTACCATATGTCATGATTCCCCAGCTTCAAATCTGTTCAAACAATTACAATGCTTCATATGGCTTGGCCATCGTAAGTTCTTTATCGGTCATCTGCAAGCTCATTCCAACCTCCCAGGGACTCTTGCCCAAGGAAATCATTTGGCTGATGTTGTGTAAGACTGGTGTTGCAAGAAAGACTCCAAGGGCCTCACTCTCATGTAAGAACAAAGGGGTTTTTATTATTCCGTGTACATGGGGTCCTCCAAACAGGTGGAAACAGAGAACCCTGAGTTGGGGCAAGGCTGGTGTTTTTAAGGGGGAAAAACTGCAATGTAAGTGTTTATTACAGAAGCCAATCATTACAGTTAGTGCAGAGCGGTGGGCATCTTATCTATCTGCTATTGGTCAGTTAATAAGGGGTGACCAGCGGGTCAGAGTTAATTAACTGTCTTTGTTCTGCACAAATTATCTTTAAGACACCTGGTTTCTGTAGGCTCGAATCTGTCATATTTTACAACCCTGATTAGTGTAATGGCAGGCTCTATCTCTGAGTTGCCTGGCACAGCACATCCCAAGAACATCACAGCCACAGATTTTTTTTTCTTCCTTCAGGACTGAGTTAGGACTGAGTCACGAGGCCCAGTGCAGTTTCTAGCTGAGAAACAGCATCTTGTTTTTAACCTTTAAATTTCTGGTT